AGTGGGTAAGAAGTTGCAAGAAGATGCAAGATTTTCCTTTCCTCCCAAAAAATATTGTAGCAACAAACGTTTGGTACTATAAATGCAAAGTTTTAGTAAAATGTTGAGTGTTTTATTGGTTGTAGAAAAGTATTACATAAATTGATTGATTTTAGGTGTAGTACAATTTCATAAGTGTTAATATTAATTATATTAAGCTAAGTTTAGTTAAATCTCTTTCATAAGTTCGGAAATAAAACATATTTATTTAAGTAATATTCGAAATTTTGTTATCATTTTGTTATCAGTTTTAGTAAAAAGTTGAGTGTAAAACTATGCAATTTTTTTTTATTTGAAAAGTGTTTGGAAAAGTTTCGATTTGTCTATTACTATTTTTATTCAATACATTTCATAGGACGAAAGTTAATGAAAACAATTTTATTTATTTAATAATTTTGATTTTTACTCTTCAAAAATTCACAATTTATCTGAAATCACTTGAAGATAAAGTGAATGCAAACATTTTTCAATGTATTTTTCTACAATTACAAAAAAAAACAAGTTAATTTGAGATTGGTTAAGCTTATATAATTCCTTGTGTTTTGTATAAATATTTGCATGAAAAATCATATACAATTAAATAATCATTACGAAATAAAAAACACTTTTCAAGAATTACTATGAAATATAATTTTGAAAAGTAGAAATTCTTGTAGTTTATATAAATATTTTGATGAAAAACTTATTGAACATGAATTTTTATGTAATTTTCTTGCAATTGTAATCAACACACACAATTAACTAAAAACGACAATTCTAAATTATTATGTAACTATAAAATATGTGATTAAAGAGCAATCGATTCAAATAAATTTGAAAAATTGTAATATTTTTTACACAAACAATTATTAGCAAGTTACTCTTCAAAAATTCACAATTTACTTGAAGGATACTGAAATCACTTAAAGATAAAGTGAATGCAAACATTTTTCAATGTATTTTTCTACAATTACCAAAAAACTAGTTAATTAAAAAACTACTAATTAATTGTTTGGAAAAGTTTCGATTTGTCTGTTATTATTTTTATTCAAAACATTTCATACGACGGAAGTTAATGAAAAAAAAAAATATGTATTTAAGAATTTTGACTTTTACTCTTCAAAAATTCACAATTTACTTAAAAGATACTGAAATCACTTGAAGATAAAGTGAATGCAAACATTTTTTAATATATTTTTCATTGGTTAAACTTATATAATTCCTTGTGTTTTGTATAAACATTTCCATGAAAATTCTATTCAATAAATCATTTTAAACTACTTAAACTTTATATAAATGAAAAACTTATTATACATAAATTAGTATGTAATTTTCTTACAGTTGTAATAAACACACACAATTAACTAAAAACGACAATTCTAAATTATTATGTAACTATAAAAAGTGTTATTAAAGAGTAATCGATTCAAATCAAATTGAACAATAGTACTTTTTACACAAACAATTATTGTTGCAACAAACGTTTGGTTTTGTAAATGCAAAGTTTTAGTGAAAGGTTGAGCGTAAAACTATGTACTTTTTTTATAATTAAAAAAAATATGTGTTTGGAAAAGTCTCGTTTCGTCTGTTACAATTTTTATTCGAAACATTTCATACGACGGAAGTTAATGAAAACAATTTTATTTATTAAATAATTTTGACTTTTACTCTTTAAAAATTCACAATTTATCTGAAATATACTGAAATCACTTGAAGATAAAGTAAATGCAAACATTTTTCAATGTATTTTGCTACAATTACCAAAAAAATAAACGAGTTAATTTGAGATTGGTTAAACTTATATAATTCCTTGTGTTTTGTATAAATATTTGCATCAAAAATCTATTCAATAAATCATTTCAAACTATATAACTTTTAAAGAATTACTATGAAATGTAATTTTGAAAAGTTGAAATTCGGAAATTTTTGTAGTTTATATAAAAATTTTGATGAAAATCTTATTATTCATGGAATTTTCTTGATATAATCATCATACAATTAACTAATTAACTAAATGCGACAATTCTAAATTGTTATGTAACTATAAAAAGTGTTATTAAAGAGTAATCGATTCAAATCAAATTAAACAATAGTACTTTTTACACAAACAATTATCGTTGCAAGAAACGTTTGGTATTGTAAATGCAAAGTTTTAGTGAAAGGTTGAGTGTAAAACTATGTACATTTTTTTATAATTTAAAAAACAAATATGTGTTTGAAAAAGTCTCGTTTCGTCTGTTATAATTTTTATTCGAAACATTTCATCCGACGGAAGTTAATGGACGGAATCAAACGATTTCATTCATATTTAGTTTACACTCTCTATACTTTTATATTTTTTTAACACACATATTTATATATGGAGAGAGAGGAAAATATCGTATGGTTTATTCATTTTCAAATTGAATACATAGAGTGGATCCAATAAAAGTGTATTATTGCATTTGTGAAACGGATGTCGGCAACCGGAATCGGACATCTGTGACAGATTGTCAATCAGCGGATGGATATTAACGGCGATCGGACTGGAACGCGACGCCTGTTTTCGATAATTTCTAATTAAATTTTATTATAAATGAATGCATTTTAACGTCCCAAAATCTATATAGATTTGAATGCTTTCACACATATCTATATATATTTTTATATATATGAAATGAAAACGGACAGTTTGATTGCAGCTTTCAAACAACGCTTTATATAATTGCAAATATTTCGATTGTTTGTTTGTTTGTTGCGATATTAGATTGTATCTGTAACGGGTTTACAATGTTGTCTCGTATCTCGTTATTTATACTAGTTTGAACATAATTATATCTGGAGATAAGGGCGATGCTTTATGTCCGTTGTAGTGCTGAGTTATTGGCATTATTAGTTGCAAATAGATTGATTACGGGGAATCGATAGTTTTCTCTCTTTTTGTTTTTTTTTAATTCACGGTTCAGTTGAAATCTATTTTTGATCGAACACAATGCTAATGCATAATTCTCAGATTCATTTAATGAAATAATCAACAAATTTAAGATTACTTATATTCAAATAATTTAGATTTCTAAACAATTAATTGTATTTTTTTTATCTTAAGATTCCAAAAGTTTCAGTGTTTGTCTACAATTGCAGAAATGTTGAGTGTTGAATCTTTGCTGCATACACGAAATGTAAAAAGTTGATGAAACTGTGGATTTACTGTAGATTTGAAAATATCAAAAGTAATTATGAGATTTTCATTGAAAAAATACAATTTTAAAGTTAGTTTTTGCTCAATATATAATAATTTTCTATTAATATTTTGGATTGGAAACAATATATCAAAAGAATGTAAATCGATGAGACATGATAAGAATAAAAAAAAAATGCGAAATTAAATGTAGCAATTATTGATTTTTTTTTAAGAGAAAATTGTAAATTAATCAAAAGAAGACTTCGATTTATGGAACAATACACTTTTGTATTATTTTTACATGATTTTTCATTTTAGAATTTTCTAAAAAAGTATAATTTTTGTCAAATTTCCATAAATTTTTGTTTTATACAATTTTAAAGTTTTTTTTTTGTTCAATATTTAATGATTTCCTGTTAATATTTTCAATTGAAAACAATTTATTAAAAGACTAATTAAAATATTTAAGAGATTTTTATCAATCCACATTATTTGTCGAATTAGTGAGATTTTTTAAATATTTTTTTATTATGAAATAATTAAAATATAGAATTGCTAAATTCATATAAGAAAACAATAAGAAACAATATTAAATGAAATATTTTAGAGATTTCCATCGAAAAAACACAATTATGTATGTTTTTTTATAAATTAATTGATTTTTGTATAATTACTTGAAAATTCATTATTTTTGTAACATGTAAATAATTAATTAAGAGATTTATTGAAAAAAATCTCAATTATTTCAATATATTCCTTAAACAAAACACTTTTTTGAGCTAATTATTCTTTATAATTAGTTCAAACAAAGATATTAAATGTATTAAAAAAAATCGAAGCTAATATTTAAGAAATTCCAATAAACGAAATTACAAATAATATTTATTGAAAAAATACTCAATATTTCATAAAATAAGTAAATTTAGTGTAAAATTGTATTGTTCTTATAGAAATTTCAATAATTTAAACTTAATAACATTGAATTTGGTGTAAATATTGTAAAAACTACGTTTGATCTAATAAAAGAAACCAGAAAATCGAAACTAATATTGAAAAAATTCCAATAAACAAAATTACAAATAATAATTAATGAAAAAATATTAAATATTTCATAAAATAAATAAATTTAGTGTAGAATTGTATTTTTCTTATAGAAATTTCAATAATTTAAACTTAATTAAATTGAATTTAGTGTAAATATTGTAAAAACTACGTTTGTTCTAATAAAAGAAACCAGAAAATCGAAACTAATATTGAAGAAATTCCAATAAACAAAATTACAAATAATAATTAATGAAAAAATACTCTATATTTCATAAAATAAGTAAATTTACTGTAAAATTGTATTGTTCTTATGGAAATTTCAATAATTGAAACTTAATTAAATTGAATTTAGAGTAAATATTCTAAAAACTACGTTTATTCTTATATAAAAAGAAACAGAAAACATAGGTTTCTTATATGTATAAATAATTCAATATACTTTGAAGTTTTTTCTGTTGTACAAGATAATTTCAGTTAATTAAATTACTTAATATTCTCTTAGCAATAGATCTAATCATGAATCTTTTGATGTAACTAAAAATAATATCGCAATCTCAAATTTTCAATGATTTCAACTTATCAATGTAATCGATCAAAATATTTGGAGTACAATTATAAATAAAACAAGCATCTAAAAATAGGCGAATGCTAGTGTTCACTATTATTGATAACAATTAATCAATCGAAATTCCACCAAAATTCCTTATCATCATCATCATCCTCATCACTATATAAGAAACCTTACAACAATTTTTGAAACATCATTCATTGATTCGAAATGTACAAGTTAATATTATTCACGACGCTGATCGCAGGTAAATTTTAATATTTTCTTATTAATTTAGAAATTATTTCTTTATTTTAATTGGTTTAATTTAAAGAGACAATTAATAAAACGAGTTTTTATTTGAATGGAAAATTTGATGTTTTCTAAGAGAATCGATTAAATTGTTTTCCGTTGCATGTGGTTCGATTACAATTCTTGTATGCGCTTTTCGCATGATTATGCAAAGTTCCTGTTTAACACGATTCGTCTCTCTTCTTCAGCTGCAAGCTGCTTCAAACTCGACTGGAGGATCGTAGGTGGTCTCGAGGCGGAGGATGGTCAATTCCCTTATCAGGTGTCTCTTCAGTCCAAAGGAAAGCACACATGCGGTGGGTCCATAATCACGGACAAGTGGATCTTAACAGCCGCTCATTGCGTAATCGGCGTGAGCTCATCCTCGCTGACCGTCGTAACCGGCACCAATAAACTGGACAAAGCAGGAGCTTCGTATCCCGTCGCCAAAGTCATCCACCACGAAGACTACAACAGTTTCCTTCTTCAACACGATATAGCTCTGATTAAAGTTAAAGAAGCTATCGAATTCAACGAGAAAGTACAACCAATTGCTTTGGCTGATCAAGAGTTGGAAGATGGTGAGGATTGCGTTTTGAGCGGTTGGGGATCTACCGTGTTTCCTGGTAACTCTCCAAACGAGCTTCGCTTTGTTCAATTGAGGGTGATTTCCAAGGAGCAATGCCAGAACGCGCAGAAAAACAAGGAAATTTACGAATCTCAGATTTGCACTTTGACACAGAAGGGTGAAGGCGCTTGTCATGGTGATTCTGGTGGTCCTTTGGTGGCTGATGGTAAATTGGTGGGAATTGTTTCTTGGGGAAAACCTTGTGCTGTTGGGTATCCCGATGTTTTCACTAAAGTCTACTCTTACTTGAGATGGATCAAATCTTATGCCAAGTAATTTTTACAAACAACTAATTTATTTTTTTCAATCATTATGTACATTTCTTAATCAATTAATAAATAATATTTATTTATAATAAGTTTTTACATTTTCCACAAATTTCTTTAAAAATGAATACATTGCTAAGAAAAGTCATAAATTTATGTTAAAATTATTTTCTTAAAACAAATATTTAAGAAAAAATTGATTTTTTTAGAAAATTCTAAAATTAAAAATAATCATTATTGTTCTTAAGTTCTTGAAAATAATACAAAAGTGTATTGTTCCTTAAATCGAAGTTTTCTTTTGATTCATCTTCAATTTTCCCATTGAATTTTTCAGTTATTCTATAATTGCTTTTATACTAATCATATCTCATTGATTTACATAATTATTTCTTCTTAAATTTGTAATATTTTCATCTTCCAATAGAATTTTATATCTCATTTTTTTTTTCAGAATTATTGTATCTTCTTCTAATTGGATTTTTCAGTAATTTTTTTAGAATAATTTTTGTATATTTTGCAAAATTTAGAAGCAATAATATTGAAATCAACCACGTATCTTTTTCAATATTATTTCTCCTAATTTTTCTAATTGTTACAACAAAATGATTTTAACTTCCCATTGGATTTTCCTATATTTTTTTAAGTTATTTTTGTATTTTCATCATTATTAGTTTTCAAAATTTGTTTATTTTGTATCATTGTACTTCTTTTCTTTCGTTGCCTAAGATTTTTCTATCATTTAACAAATTAAATCCTTCTTAATTTTACAATTTTACTTCTTCTAATCAAATTTCTATATAATATTTACGAAATGTTATTTTTTTCTTAATTTTGTATCTTCTAATTGGATTTTCCAGTAATTTTATTTGAATAATTTTTGTATTTTTTGCAAAAATATTGAAATATAATAATATTGAAATAAACCATGTATCTTTTTTAATATTATTTCTCTTATTTTTTCTAATTTTTACAACAAAATTCTCATCTTCTCATTGGATTTTCCTGTCATTTTTATTAATTTTCTATTTTCATCATTATCAGTTTTCAAAATTTGTTCATTCCTAATTTTGTAACATTTCTACTTCATTTCTTTCGATTTCTAAACAGTTTAAGTTAGTATCTTCTAATAAGATTTTTGTATCATTTAACAAATTTAAACCTTCATAATTTTACAATTTTACTTCTTCTAANNTTTTTCTTAATTTTGTATCTTCTAATAGGATTTTCTCTATAGGTTTTATATTTTCGCTGAAGTCTATGAAAAAAGAAACTAAATCAAATTGGATCGGCTTTATTGAAGAGTTGCGGACTAATAAAGTTGCGGCTATTGTTTTTTCTTTCTCTCTCTCTCTTTTTTTTTTCGTTGTTGTTGTTGTCGGCGGTAAAAGGACGACGATATGAGCCATCAAAGTAAGGATGCGTCGCAATATTTTTCTTTGATGTTAATCCGAAAATCCCGCAACCTTATAACATGTGTGATACGCGTACGCACAGAACCCATAATAAAAGGGGGGAAAAACACACACACACAGCACAAATTGAATTTGCTATCAGCAGATGGGCGGGGTGAAATACAAAAAAAAAAAAGGGGGCAGAAGGTCATCCTGATGATGATCATCATCATCATCATCAAAACATATCGTATTGTAAACGTGGGGGCTGAATATGTGTATGTAGTTATTATATAAACGCAGGTCACGTGATCAGCTTTATTAAATCAGCTAATTAAATGCTCCACCTACTAGGTCCGCCCTGGCTCATTACACTAATGTCCAACTCTTGGACTTGGGCGGGGCCAGAGCTGTTACATAAACACACACACATCCACACACGTATATGTACACATAAACACACACAGACGCTAGTAGCAGCGTTTGATGTGAGCCGGACACGCGGCTGTTAACCGTCCAATATTATTGTCCACCAAATCGTTAATTAAATATTTATCAGGAACCACGCGATCGCCGTATTCGAACGAATGATTCGAATCGAATTATTAATATCATTGCACTCCGCACGTAACAACCATCCCCTTTTCTACAACACTATACGATATCAATTTTTGTTTGTAATTCATAGAATATTCACAAAGGCGGAATGGCTGCGACCAATAACCTTTTGTATGTTTATTTGTACAACAAATATTACATTACTTTTTACGTTTCTTTATTTTTTTATGCACTAGATCACAATATACGCAGGATCTAACAAATGTTCGCTAAGTAGGCTTTAATTCTTTTATTTCTAACGATATTAAAAAATAACATTTCGTAAATATTACAAAGAAATTTGATTAGAAAAAGTGAAATTGTAAAATTATGAAGGTTTAAATTTGTTAAATGATACAAAAAGCTTATTATAACTTAAACTGTTTAGGAAACGAAAGAAATGAAGTAGAAATGTTACAAAATTATGAGTAAACAAATTTTGTAAACTTATAATGATAAAAATACAAAATTAACTTAAAAAAAATATATAGGAAAATCCAATGAGAAGATGAAATAATTTTGATGTAACAATTAGAAAAATCAGGAGAAATAATATTGAAAAAGATACGTGGTTGATTTCAATATTATTTCTTCTAAATTTTGCAAAAAAAATACAAAAATTAATAAAAACAAATTACTGGAAAATCTTAAATTTGCTCATTGATGAACAGATTGTAAAAATAAAAATTGTTATATAATTATAAAATTTACCCAAAAATTATAATCATATTATTAATTTGTATGTGACATTGATTTGTATGTTATAAACTTTTTTACATAGAAAAGCAAAAATCATTGAAAATATATGATTTCTTCATTTCTACCATTCTTATTTTATATTTATGCCTTTTAGGGTTATTTTTTGGTAATTAAAGCAATATATTTTTTATAATGAATTTACATTGAATAGTTTAAACAGTTTGATAAAAATTTAATGAAGTTAGAAACTTAACCAATTAATTGTAAGCATTTATTTATTTACCTTCGTTAGGTTTATCTGATTCAAGATTTTAACAATTGTATTTTAACATCTAATAATTATAGAATAATTATAAAACAGAAAAGATTAAGTACTGTAAAGGTTTTTTTAATAATAAGATTTTATTGTTGTTTTTTAAATAAACATTCAATATATATAAGTATTTTTTATTGAATTATTATAAAATTTACACCAAATTTATAATTATATTAATAATGTGACATGTGACATTACGTTATTAACTTTTTTTTACGTAAAAAGCAAACATTATTGAAAATATATGATTTTTGAATATTTACCATTCTATTTTATATAAAATATAAAATTTTCTCCAATAATAATAGAGTTTTCACATAAAAATAAAAAACGAATTTTGACACATTTGTTCATAGTATAGAGTAATATTAGATTTGAATATATGAGGTAACAAAAAAATGTAATAAATTTAAAAAATATAAGTGTTTAATAACTATTTAAATAATATTTTTTTTGTAAATATTGTGAATTTAGTTATAATCAGAAAGTCGAACCGGAACCTAACCGAAAACCGTAAACTGAAATTAACAGGATTTTTAATAGAACTGTAACTGTAACCGGAACGAAAACTTGCTGAATTGAAAAACCGAAATTTTAATTAATGTTCGAGTTTCTAGTTATAACATATTTGTTATAAGATGTATTATATGATTGAGAATACTTTTAAGATCTGTTAAGTTACTTTATTATCTAAATCAAGGTTTTCCCAAACTATGTTCTGCAAAAAGTTAATGGAATGAAACAAATAATGAATGTTTTTTTCAAATATTTTAAATTTTATTAATTATGTTATATTACCTACATTACAAAAATGTTTGTAAAATTTTATTCCGTTTGGTTCCGTAATTAAAAAATACAAATATTAGCATGTAAAAAGGTTATCGCTTTGACAAATCCATTTCTTGTTGAACTTGATCACATTCCGTTGTTAAACTGAAAATATATTTATATATATAGATCCCATTTCCGGGTTTATTCTTCTATATATATTTTGTTTGTTTTGTATACGTGGGGAGACTTAGATGTTATATTGTTGGTTTGGTATCAAAAAAAAAGGAAGCTTAGGGATAGATAGCAATATGATTCGAAACGCAGACCTCTTCCTCCTCTTCATCCTTCGAACGTAATCCATAACAATGGTTCTTCAGATTCTCGCTCACAGGGGAGAGAACGATAGAGAGAAAGACCTCCTCCGCCTTTTATATCTGTTTCCATTCCGTAACACGATCCGATAACTTTCATAAATATACATTAATATTACATTTATTTTTTTTCGTTTCGCTTTGCTTTCCCTCCCCCGTCGATCGATGTAATTGCATAAAAATGGCGTCGCTTCGTGCGTGGATTGAATTTCATCCGCCGATTTATTGCCTTCTAATTATAAATATCTAGAGAAGACGCCAGATCGTAAATCGAGCACATCATTATTCCGAGAGAAGATTTATTACACTTATTAGCGATTTATCAAATCGCTGGTTTCTTAATTAATCAGTTAATTAATTAATTTACTTTATATTTTCGTGAATTGAAGCATCAACAAACCGATCAAAGTTCATCTTTGAAGCATGATTCAATTGCGGATCAATCATGAGTTCACTACGACCACCCCCTCAACGGCTCCCCGTGTTTAGCAAACCGCACCGGATTTAATCACACTCATACATGGATCCTATGGTGGATGAGGAAGAGGACGAGGATGAGGGAGAGTTGTGCTTTGATCGAACGCTGGTGTCATAATCTGGCCTGTAAGTGAACAGTGCCCGATACGACCCCCCTCGTTATGTATATATATAAAGTGTGGACTCCCCCGGATATTGTATGAACAATCATCATCATCATCATCCATCGGGGGTTGTTGTTGTTGTGTATGCGAGATGTGTTCGTGTGTTCACAGACCGATGACTCGGGTAATCTCTCTATATGCGTATTCCCTTGTATATTAATCATCTCTTTTGTACACATACTCTTTATTCATATGTTTGCCGACACACAGCGCGCGCTCCCAACGGCAAATATTGATAATAATATTTGGGACAATATTGATGGGAATATTCCACG